GATCTCGGCTCACTGCAACCTCTGCCGCCTGGGTTCAAGCGATTTTTGAATCGGAGTCTCGCTCTGTTGCTCAGGCTGGAATGCAGTGGCGCAATCTCGGCTCACTGCACCTCCACTTCCCGGGTTCAAGTGATTCTCTTGCCTCAGCCTCCCGAGTTACTGGGATTACAGGTGTGTGCCACCATGCCTGGCTAATTTTTGTATTTTCAGTAGAGACAGGGTTTCACCATGTTGGCCAGGCTGGTCTTGAACTCCTGACCTCAAGTGATGCTCCCGCCTCAGCCTCCTAAAGTGCTGGGATTAAGGGGTGAGCCACCATGCTCAGCCTGTTTTTTAAAAAACTTTGTATTAAAATATGATACACATTAAAAACACACATAGATCTTCAATGTGTGACTCTGCGAACTTTCAGAAACTTAGCACACCCATGTCACTAGCACCAGATCAAGAAGCAGAGCACGACCAACCTTCCAGAGGCCCTTAATACCCTTGCCAGGGATAGCCACTACCCTGACTTCTCATACTCAGTGTCATTTCATGCTGCATCTCTACAGCACTTTCTTTTTCTTTTTTTTTTTTTTTAACCTCTCTCTCTCTCTCTCTTTTTTTTTTAAGAGACAGTGTCTTGCTCTGTTGCCCAGGCTAGTCTCAAACTCCTGGCCTCAAGCAATCCTCCTGCCTCGGCTTTCCAAAATGCTGGGATTACACCACACTTGGCCTCTGTAGCTCTTAAACTTTCTAATGCTTATATTCCATAATTTGGGACATGCCATTCACTGTCTATTATTTGGCCTTTCCTTGGCCTCTGTGTCCCCATTTCAAATATCACCCCCCTGCCAACACGCTGTGTCATTTTGCCCAAGTTGCTTTCCCTCTCTGGGCTTCCTTTTACAAAATGGTGTTGGGCTATCAGGCTGAAGGATGATCCCACTGTCCACTTTAGGCCTGAGGGTATGTAATCCATCAGGCCATGCCTTCTCCCACCACTGTGTGTGCTTCAGCCAATAGGCCTTTCAGCCAACAGCTGCTGTTGTCTGGCTTTTTACCTAGGAGCGGAAGAGGCCAGGGTGGCTCCATGCTGGTGGTCTGTTCTGTGTGTATGGTGCAGATGTGTCCATATCATATTCACAGAGACATGGAGAGGCTTTGCGGACCTCAGGGGCGGAGGCTGAAGCCTGGCATTTCCTGGGCGACATCTGGCTTGTCCACAGTGCAGGACAAACGCTGTGCTTTGCTTATTCTGCCAGTATTTTTGTTCTAGATTTTGAAAAGAGTGGCCAGCAGGAGCTGAGTAGGAGCCAGATAAGACTTCCACTCAGGCAGGCACTCTCTCTAGCCCACCTCCATCCACCCCTACTCCTGTCATTCATTTGTGCTCATTTCTGTGAGCTTCTGAGTTTGTAGCCCAGGTTCCAAGGTGGTGGTTTTTCTTATACCTGAAAACCTTTTCTTCCAACAAAGTCTTACTTCATTGGACAAATAAGAGATGCACCTGGCTAGGTGCAGTGGCTTATGCCTGTTATCCCAACATTTTGGGAGGCCAAGGCAGGAGGATCGCTTGAGCCTAGGAGTTCAAGACCAGCCTGGGCAACATAATGATACCCTGTCTCTACAGAAAAATTTAAAAATTAGCCAGGTATGGTGGTGGGCACCTGTAGTCTCAGCTACTCGGGAGGCTGAGGTGGGAGGATTGCTTGAACCTGGGAGGTAGAAGCTGCAGTGAGCTGTGATCATGCCACTGCACTCCAGCTTGGGCAACAGACCAAGATCTTGTCTCAAAAAAAAAAAAAAGGAAAAGAAAAGCAAGAGAGATGCACCTCTGTGTGATACAGATGAAGGGTGTAGGACCCAGAACCCGCTTATTTGACCTCCCAGGTGCCCAGTGGGACTATTTTCCTTTTTTTCTATTTTTTTTTTTTAGAGATGGGGTTTCACCATGTTGGCCAGGCTGGTTTTGAACTCCTGACCTTAAGTGATCTACCCACCTCGACCTCCCAAAGTGCTAAGGTTACAGGTGTGAGCCACCATGCCCGGCCACTATTTTCCATTTTACAGACAGGGAAACTGACTCTCAGGAGTGGAAAAGCGCTCTGCAAAGGGGACTTCTCCTGTAGGGAGTTTGGGTGCAGGTGTTGTGTTAGCCCTATCTGATTGATGAGGAAACTGAGGCCAGAGGAGTGGTTTGAAGTTCCCAGTGGTCAGTGCAGGACCACAGGCCACACCCTCATATCCACACCCCAGTCTGCTCCTCCTGTGCCAGCCTGATTGCCATTGCCACACATGTGCCCTCTCTTTGGTTCACAGGTGGGCATTCTCTCTGGCCTCCACTTAACATTCTGGGGTCCCGGACCCTGCCTCTCTCCCCCCCAGATCAAGGCTGAAGACCCCAGTGGCGATTCAGCCCCAGCAGCACCCCTGCCCCCCCAGCCGACCCAGCCTCATCTGCCCCAGGCCCAACTCATGTTGACGGGCAGCCAGCTAGCTGGGGTAAGTACTCAGGGAAGGATGGGGACGAGGGGACAAACCAGCCACCCCTCATCTGTTACAGGGCTAGTGGATGAACTGTTCCACCAAGGCCATGGCCACTCTCTCACGCCTGCCTCTTGCCCTCTTCTGTCCTCCAGGAGGTCTTGTCCCCTTACTTGCTTGGCTTAGGCACTAACCCCTCTCTGCCTTCTCTGCTCCTCTTCAACCCCCTGCTCCGACTCCTGCTGTCCCCGACACCCCACAGCTCACGGCACTGATGCCAGCTCAGCAGCAGCTCCTCCTGCAGCAAGCCCAGGCCCAGCTCCTGGCCGCCGCCGTGCAGCAGTCCAGTGCCGCCGCTGCTGCTAACGCCGCTGCCGCCGCCGCCGCCTCCGCCTCCTCTACTTCCTCCTCCTCTTCCTCCTCTGCCTCCTCCTCGACCTCGCAGCCCCCAGCTTCCTCTGGGGGGGGTGACCTGCCACCACCACAGCCTGCCAGCCAGCCCCCTGGGACCCCACAGCTCACCTTGTCCCAACCCATCCAGCTCACAGCACAGGTAAGGGCAGCCACTGGGGACCAGGCTCCCTGCAGCGAAGGACATGCAGAAACAGTGAGTGTGTGGGAAGGGGCTGACTGGTCCACATGGACTGTTCTGACCACCAGCCACATGCCAGGCAGTTCCTAGCAACCCTAGGAAGCTTTGGGAGATGTTGCTATCCCATCTTACAGTAGGGTAAAGTGAGGCTCACAGAAAGGAATATCCCACATCATAATCCTTCCTCTGGTGGTGTGTTGGGGGCAGTGCTTGCTATGCATCTCGCTGGGAATTCACAGCCTCCTGGGAGGTTGAGATTGTTGTCCTCAACTTACAGGTAAGGAAACCAGGAGTCACTCCCGTGAATGGTACCATGTGGATACAAAACAAAAGGCTGAGAATAAGAATGAGTGCCCTGCCCTCATCGTGTCCCCTGGCTCATCCAACAAGATGCTCTTTCAAAAAAAGGGGCCTGTGATCTATGAGTTAGGAGGTTCTGCATCACCTGCCCGACTCTGGAGCTTTTGCTAGTCCATAGTTAATCATGAATTAGTGGCTGTCTCAGTTTCCTAGGGCTGCCATAACGTAATACCACCAACTGGGTGGCTTAAGACAACAGAAACATTATCTCCAACCACAAGTCCAAACTCAAAGTGTCGGTAGGACCATGCTCTCTCTGAAGGCTTCCAAGGAGAATCCATCCTTGACTCTTCTGGCTTCCGATGATGCTGTCAATCCTTGGTGTTCCGTAGCTTAGTAGATGGCTGACTCTGATCTCTGCCTCCTCTGTTGTCACATGGCCATCTTCTCTCTGTGCACCTGTCTCTGTATTCAAATTTTTCTTTCTTGTAGGGACACTAGTCATTAGTTTAGGGCCCACTCCGATGACCTCATTTTAACTTGGTTACATCTGCAACCCTATTTCCAAATAAAGTCACATTTACAGGCACCAAGAGTGAAGACTTCCACATATCTTTTTGGGGACACAATTTAACCCCTAACAGTGGCCAACAGAGTTCCCATAAGGACAGCCAGGGGAGCAGAGTGGGAGCTGAGTAGGCTTCCTCTTCCGAAGGGCAGCTGTCTCCAGCCCACTCATGTCCACCCCTTCCCACGTCACCCATTCATGTTGTCTGTCTGGTTTCCACAAGCCTTAGAGTTGTGGCCACGTTTCAGGGCAGTGAAGGTCCTAGGAAGCCCTACAGCAAAGCCACCTGTTAAACTTCCCTTAGCCTAGCATTTCCCTCAGTGAGTGCTCCACAAAAGGCTTTTCTCTTACTCCATCCAGCTGCTTCCACAGAACCCTAGATATAGATGCTATCCATGCAGGGAGCTGTCCAGCCCTGGTGAGGCTGTTCCCTTGATACGGTTCACCCCAATAATGGCCTGTTCCATTCTTGACCAATGCTTCCATTTGGGACTTTCCTTAAAGCTGAGCTGATACCTGCCTCCTTAGAACTTCCTTCCACTGGGCCTGGTTCTTTGGAGACACTGTAAACTGGGCCCACGGCTCCGTGATGTAGCCTTTTTTTTTTTTTTAAATGAGATGAGGTCTTGCTTTGTTGCCCAGGCTGGAGTGCAGTGGTGTGATTATGGCTCACTGCAGCCTCATCCTCTTTGGGCTCAAGTAATCCTCCCACCTCAGCCTCCTGAGTAGTTGGGACTACAAGTGCATGCCACCACGCCCAACTGATTTTTTTATATATACATATTTTTTTGTAGAGACAGGGTTTTGCCATGTTGCCCAGGCTGGTCTTAAACTCCTGAGCTCAAGCGATCCGCCCGCCTTGACTTCTCAAAGTGCTGGGATTACAGGCATGAGCCACGGTGCCCGGCCCAAACATAGCCTTTCAATACCTGACTCTCCAAGTAACAGTAACTTAGTCTGTTGGGTGCCACCTTTGTTCCAAGTACCATGCCAGTGATGGCCTGTTTGCACCCATGAATACTCCCCACAGCTGAGGCTCCAAGGGGCAAAGTGACCTGCCCCAGATTATAATGTGAGCAGGAGTGGCAGAGCCGGCCTGGAAGTCCAGGGCTCTAACCACATGATCCGCGGCTGCTGCTTTTAGCTGTCCTTCACGGAACATGGTTTCTAGCCCCTCCCACCCCGGCCACCAGAGACTCCAGCAGCAGGTGTTCCATTTGCCTTGTAGCATAGACACCCCTTTACTGAGCAACGCCAAGGGCTTGGGGCTCTTCACTGGGGCTAGGCTCTTTCACATCTCAGTGGCCCTGCTCTTGTTCTCTCTTTTCTGTGGAAGTCTGCTCCCTTCCTTTACCTGGACAGTTCCTCTTCATCTAAGCCCCAGCCCAGGAGTCCACACCTCTGGGAAGTCATGATGACTTCCCTCCCTCCAGCTGTGCCTGAATCTGTCCGAGGAAATATCAGTTGAAGGAACAAAGACTAGAGGATAGAAGGCGGAACAGGGCAGCCTAGCATAGACCCAGCCAGGCCACCACCTCTGTAAGCAGCAGACGTTCTTGCCTATGCATTCCTAGAGCCACCTCCCCCAGCTCCCCAGGGACCCAGCAGCAGCACGCTGAGCCTCTACCACCTGCCGTCCAGCCCAGGCCCTGATTGTCAAGGTCTCCTTAAACCCCTCCTCCTTTCCTCTCACTCCTCCTTCCCCAGCTCCCCTCAGCTGGGATCTTTCCCTTTCTGTCCTCAACAAGTGCGAAGCTGGGCCAAGTTTGTTTTCTGGGAATTCCTTCTCACAAACTGAGTTGCCCTTTGACATCATTTCTACAACGGCACCTCCTATGGGCACCATGCCGGGCCTAGGCTTCAGAGGGACCAGCTCTTCCTGACTTACCTACCCACTGCTCCAGCCTTCCCTGGCTCCTAGGCTTGGATGGCTCTCCCGGGCTGCATCTCATGCCCTCCACCCCCTAGTCCACTTCTCATGCCTGCTAAGCTCTGATCCTGCAGTCATTCCACAAACATTTCCTGGCCTCCTGTGTGTCAGGCCATGGCAGGAAGCTGAAGACTTAGGAGTGAGTCACAGCCATCCTTGCCCCTGAGGGGCTCCCCATCCTGCAGTAGAGCAAGCACATCAGTGAGCCACTAAGAAATATTCCACTTGAAAGATACTAAGAAGCCCAGGAAAGAGAGTAAAAAACACTCATAAATGCTGTCCCTTTGAAATGATATAAAGTACCAAGGAGAAGTCCCCCTTCCATCCCTCTGATGTCAGCTTCCAGAGTAATGCTGATTAAACAGTTTGGCAGGATCCTTCCCTGCAGTCTCCTAGCTTGTACAGATGAAGGGGCAATTATAATACAGTTTTATAATTTGTCTGTCCATTGCTCAGTGTGACGTCTTCTACCGAGGGGGCTGTGTGGATATTTACCGAATCAATGAGGGATGTTTTGCAGCAGATTTTCAGTCAAGGGTAGGAAAGATACCTCTCCAGGGAAGTATTTCAGAATGTCTGGGGTAAGGGCAGGCATTGATTGAAAACTTATGTTAACAGTTAAAACATCATTTTTTTATTGGAGAGTAGGGGGAAAAAAATCCTATTTTCCTAATAGGACAATGGCAAATAAAGCTTGACAAAATCTTTTAGGCTGCTAGGGCCTAGCGAGTGAAAGTTTCCCAAAGAAACCAACTAAGTGTGATGGGAATGTGGGAAAAGAAATGGGATGTGTGTCTGAGGGAATCAGGACCCACATCTGTCCAGGCTTTCAGGACAAGGTGGGATCTGAACTCAGGGGAATGGGAAAGAGTTTGCTGGGAAGGGGCTTCCAGGCCATGGGAATGGCAAGTGCAAAGTGAGAAAGCAGGGCAGACTGCAGCGGCACAAATAGGGATGGATGAACTGGGAGGGAGGAGCCAAAGCCCAAGTCCAGGTGGCTGAAGAAGACTCAGGAATATTTGGCTCAGGTCACTGAAAAGGCCTGGCCTGGAATATCAGGCCCAGCTCCAGGGGTCTGTCTCCCTGTTTCATTATAGGGCAGGCATAATCGGTGTCAGCATTTCCAGATTTGTAGCTATCCTGCCCAGGGAGATAAAACACATCCCTTGGGTTGGGTGGGGTGGCTCAGGCCTGTAATCCCAGCACTCTGGGAGGCCAAGGTGGGCGGATCACTTGAGGTCAGGAGTTCAAGACCAGTCTGGCCAACATGGTAAAACCCTGTCTCTACTAAAAGTGCAAAAATTAGCCAGCCATGGTGGCATGCACCTGTAATCCTAGCTACTTGGGTGGCTGAGGCAAGAGAATTGCTTGAACCCAGGAGGTGGAGGCTGCAGTGGGCCAAGATCGTGCCACTGTGCTCCAACCTGGGCAACAGAGTGAGCCTCTGTCTCAATAAAACAAACAAACAAAAACATGTCCCCTGGCTAGGTTTGAGTCCTTGCCCTCGACCCCAGAGAAGGCAAGTTCAGCCCTATCTGGACATCGTGACTTGAAGATGGGAAAGTGTAACCCCCGAAAGAGATGGGTTCTGTTGCTTGAGTAAGTTGAAGAAAGGGCAGTGGATACCA